AAAAAAAAAAAAAAAAAAAAAAAAAAAAAAAAAAAAAAAAAAAAAAAGAAAGAAAGAAAGAAAGAAAGAAATTCAAAACATTAAATCAAGGCTGATATTGGTATCAAAACAATCAAAGTTAATCACTGCTGGTTTTGATCTGTGTCTGCACTTTTCTGATAAAACGAACTGAAAGACTTTAAGAATGCGGCAACGATTTTATCCATTATTGCTGCAAACCCAGCTGCCTGAGGGTAGACATGAAAAACATGCATAGTTAGAAGTCAGACAGAGTAAGCTGTCTGCACTCACACACTGACAGGCTGCGGAGAACACTGCACTGCATCATTTTCCAGCTAACAGACCAGAGTCTGGACCATAATAAGCAAAGACCCAGACTGCTGAACCAAAGGAAAACGAATAGGAACAAAGTCTGGGAGCTCTAATGTCGGCCGCAATTCCCTGAAAACCCTTTGGGGTGTCAGTTCATTAGTCCTCTTCATATTGGCTCTGACCCAGCTTAGCAGGTCACACTAAACTAATTAGCTCAACAGCTAACATGCCCTGTGAAAACAAAACAGAGTGATAAAAGGCAAATATTAGAAATTTGGAGAAATATGAACTCATAAAAGCTGTGGGTCCAGAGGGAGTCTGTTGATATTCTACAACTGAAGTGGTTAAGCGGGTGAGGACAAAAACACTGGGAAAAATAAAAGTAATTGTGAATACTGTAATGCTGATAAAAAAAATTTATTAAGACATTGTTAAGCAACAGTAACCAAGATTTAAGCTGTATAGAAACTACAAGATGTTTAACAAGCTGTAGTCTATTTAGCAAGTTTGTTTCCCACAACAGAGCTTGTTTTTTCAATCATTTTCCTGCTGCTTTGATAAATTCAAACAGGCCACCGGTTGTAATTCAATAATCGACCACAATACAGGATAATCAGGAGCTCTGGTCAGCTGATTTTGATTTAGCCCTCACAAGACTGTTTTCAGATAAATGTGCATTATGATCTTTTGTTCATCCTTACCTAATAGTAACTGTGACTCTGTTCTAYAGAAACCCTCTTAAATCAACATGTGACCTCCACGTCCTACAGCATCATTAAGGTCSCATACTAAAAAGGCTACGCATTAACTCCACTCAGTCACAATTCAGGCTTTATGACTTTGAAAACCAATTATGAATGAGCCAGTTACTGGTTTCAAGAAATACCAAGGTGTTAAAAAGTTCCAGTGTTAAAACTACAAAACAGTTCTGTCTAATTAAATGCCTTAAAACTGGAGATGGCTAATATCGTTATTGGTCCGATAAGTAAAACTTGGCCGATATTACCTTACAATATTGATTTCCCACTTTTTAGCTTTGTGTTTCTGTTTCAGGAGGGGAGATGGTTGGTTGAGTGGTCTCTGTTTGATCATGATAGTGATACTGACACTGCTGTAGCGGAAACGTGAATATCTTCGACAAGAGACAGTCAAACTATTGTTCCTGTTAACGCCACCTTTTTCATCCTGCCTGCAACATCTCAAAGTTTGAATAAYGACTTCTCCTGTTATCTCATCTGATACTTCTCCCTTAGGCCTTAGAACAAAGACTAGACTTCCTGTCGCCAGTTAATTTGTTTATCACCTCTTTCAGAATAAGACTGGAATAAACATTGTTTGACATCAAAGGGCCCCTGATGTTAAACAAGAAGAGACAAACACATCAAAAGACTCCCATCAGATTTATCTGTGGGTCAGCAACGCCACACTGTGGACATTTTATCTATTAACCCTGAAAGTATTTTATTTTTCACCCATGTTTTCCGTTTATAACTATAAAAAGCATCTCTTCTGTTACATGTCCTGATAGGTCATGTGACCACCGCAGAAAGTCTTAACCAATGAGAAGTTCCGTTGTGAACAAGGAGTTTTTTCATTGTTCTGCCATGTGTTGAGCTGTNTTTATAACTATAAAAAGCATCTGTGAAGTGTCAAAACAATACCTTGGTACTCTGATTTAAGTACTGTAATAATCATGACATTGTTTAGTAACTTGATCTGTTCTGATTAATTATTACTCTGTTCTTCTGTTACATGTCCAGATAGGTCATGTGACCACCGCAGAAAGTCTTAACCAATGAGAAGTTCCGTTGTGAACAAGGAGTTTTTTCATTGTTCTGCCATGTGTTGAGCTGTAAGAAGTATTTTGAGGAGAGAGTAGCTTTCAGCTCCAGCTTCCCCCATCCTGGGGCGAGGCCATTCGTTTTTCCAACTTTATTTCCTTTTTGTAGTTTGTTCTGATGAAGCTTCTCAAGAAGGAGATTTACATTGATTGAAACAATGAGGCTGATTTAATTGAAGTCGGACGACCACCAGTGTGCCCGCAAGGAACGCAGCCACGGTGCTGGACAACATCTCCAGTGAATGCAAACCGGCAATCCAGATGACCAGGGAGCTTCTGCACAGCTAAGTCACAGACTCGGTTGGACTTCACGTGCCAGCCCAATTAGCATAGAAGTATCCATTCTGGCATCTACAAACTTTGTCGGTAGGAAACATCTTGCTTAATTAATCTGATGGTGTGTTCAAAGATTTAAATCAGATCAGAGTATATCAATGTTCATTCTTCTTCCCCTGAGCTCCCTCTTTGTTTGCTGTAGGCTTAGCAATAGTGAGTTAGTGTTTCACTGAAATATGTTAGAAAGTTGTTCACATGGTAGCCATGTCAGACTACTTACGCCACTCCTTGATCAAGTTTACAGAACTGATTATAAAGTGTGTTTTTGTCTGAGAAATGACTTGTAATGCATATATTTCCCTCTGAACCTCATTTTAAATAATATACGGATGAATTTCCAAATGTGATTTGTCTCCGTCTGTGTATTTCCTTGTCTCACGTCATTAAATTGAAAGAATTAAACGCCTTCATATTTAGAGAATATTAAAAGAAAAGTTTTTCTGAAATTTTACAACAAAAACTTTAGTGGTGCCCCCATAAGGTGAACTTAAACATTTCATACAGTTTGTTTAATTTTAGCGTTTAAAACCCCTACACTGCGCAGCCAGGAATAACTGAAGTACAGAGCCTTGTCAGAGGTCTGGCCATTAATTTACGGTATCAAAAACAGACCCAAGTATTTTTGTGCGTATATGTATAATATAAGTTGTGTGTTTGTGTACTATCAGTAAAKATTGGTYATCGGCCATAACAGCAATAATTTTATTGGGTATCGATACTGGCTGAAATTTTCATATCGGTGCATCCCTACTTAAAACCAGAAAACAGAGACAAGGCACATTTTTCAAGTCTCCCTCTCCTCTCCTAAAAGCAGTCGTTGATGAATTAAACATTTTATCTGTCCAACAACCCAGTCAATCATGGCTTGTCTACCAGAAAAATCGTGTTTGTGATGCCAAATTGTTATGGAAATGTTTATTAAAGGCAGAAAYACATGAATAAAATSAAGGTGCACTGCGTGAATGGTCGTTGARTGATTTAATAAGCTTTGCAATTGCAAGAAAGAGCAGCGACGTAAACAGAACCAATCAGTGAGTCTGCCACGTAGCTACTGGAGAACAGCAAACAGGAAATGGAATATACATCCGGGCGGAGCCCATAATCCAACCAATGACAAAATGACAAATGTTATCAGTAACTTCAAATGGAACAAGGACATGAGACATTAAAGGGCGCCTCTAAATCATAAGGACAGATTATGACAAATCGTAGCACTTATCAAAGAGATACAAAATAGAAATGTCAAGGCAGTGTGAACTTAATAATCAGGCAAAGAGGTATAATTATTTTCCAGCACAGAACACTCATCTGTTTTCAAGGTAATGCTGTTTTGAAATAAATGTTGGCAACAAGCAGCACGGTGGCTTAGTTTGTAAAGATGTTGCCTCTCAGCAAGAAAGTTKCTGGATCGAATCTCGAGCCAGGGACCTGGGTGGAGTTTGCATGTTCCCTGGTTTTCTCCCACGTACCACAAAATATGACTGTTAGGCTAAATGGTAACTCTAAATAGTCCCTATGGGTGAGTGAGAGGGTGAGGTTGTCTCTATGTCRTCCTGTGATGGACCATCTGTCCAGCGCGTACCGCACCYGTCGCACARTTACTGCTGGATATGGGCACCAGTGACCMTGTAAGGAAGGAATGAGTTAAAAGATAGTAGATGAATGTTTGCTACAAGAGTCTGCAAAGTAGCAAGTGAAATACCAGCCTAGGCCTACTGCAGGTTCACTTTATGTAGGCTAAATGAAAGATGAGAAAATAAAATGTCAGATTTTAAAACCTTTTTTTTAAAGTATGAACCCTAAATATTTTGTTCAGTATCATTACACTGCAGTATATTGCCATTATTAATAGGTTTTTATGCCTCCGCCCACTGGGGGGTGGGTAGGCATACTGTTCTCTGGTTGTCCATCTGTGCGTTATCGGGTGTCCATCACACTATGAACTGTATCTCCTGAACTATTGATTGTTGATGTCTATTGATTTCAGTCCAAAATTAACATGGTAATTGTTTTTGGCCCAACGGAGGTCGAAAATATTTTTGGAGTCAGAGGTCAAAGCTGAAGGTCAGGCAAATTGATTTTTGTTGCTTGAATCCTCTTTTTATACAGACAGAAAGTGGATTGGTCACTCAAGCTAATGATATAGTAAAAATCAAAGAGGAACTCATGTTTAGATCTTGTTGATAGTTATATACTTCTTAGAATATTTAAGTCCAAAAATGGATGTCAACAGGTAACTGCGTGCCCAGTGCTTTAAATGGCAAGTCCAGGGCAGGCAGAGGCGTATGAGTCGATGCATTGGTGTCGAGTTCTACCTTGTTTAATTTTAGTTGTTATACTGTGAAAMTGGTATTTTTGCTCAAKGTTATCATTCTGTCAGAATCCAACAGTGGCCCAAGCCTAAACCAACATGTGACCTCTACGGCCCACCAAGCTACTGCATAGCCAGCGGGTATGCTTGAGCTATTTAAACCCCACTCAATCGCAATCCACGCCTAACGGCTTTGAGTATCAACATAAGATTTATGTTTCAAAGTTATAAGTCATTTAAGAAATGCCCTGGGCAGGCTTCCTCGTGTTTCAGTCTTTCCCAGACACATTGATTTGCATTGCAGAATACAAATTAAAGTCAAAAGGTAAGGACTCTACACTAATTGGTCTGTGCTTTGGTGAGATTGGCCTGCTTAAGTAAAAAGGGTGTGTGTGTTCAGGGGGGGTGGGAGTTTAATCCCACAAGAGAATGTTATTCATTATCTTATGTTGCTGGCCAAAATCTTTTACCTTCTTAACACCAGCTTAGATGGATTACATTCAGTTCAAACTGGGCCTTCTGATTTAATTTATTCTCCCCTGCTTACACATTTATGGTGGACCAACCCGGCCATCTGGCTGAGAGAGGCCTGCTCACAGCCTCACTGCTGCGTACGATAATGTGCATGGTAAACTCAAAGGGTATGGTGCCTATATTATTGAGGCCCTGCTCCACAAAGCTCGTCTGATTTACAGACATCAGGCTGGTTCTGTCTCCGCCCCTTTCAGGAGCCATCAAACCACCCTGAGATTGATGAAGCTGGCAGGAGGTTAAAAGCTGCTCGCTGTGGGAAGGCCAGCATGAACTCCAACCTTATAGTCAGAGCTCAGAGGGGACAGGAGCTCAGTGCCAGAGGGGGGATGTGGGGGGACAATAAGACAGAGTGGACCAAGTTTGATCTGCTTTCAAACTCTTTCTGACTTGATAGATTTAGAAAAATCTGTTTCCTCATCAGTACGACCAACTCATTTTTTTTTTGCAGAAACTTCTTATCATGGTTAACATGTTCTAATACAGTTATAGGTCTAATATAGTCTTGGCTTATCTAAAGTACTGAGAGCATTTAGAGTACATGCTCAGTTTTGTTCCTTTGAAATTTATCACTTGCTATTTTGTTCTCAATTGTCCACAAGCTGGTATAACTTACAGTTAAAAAACAGATGTTCAACAACACTAAAACCTGAAATACAGATACTAACCATCAATGTTTTATGAAACGTCTGACACACTTGAGTGTGCAAAATGGGCCTCAAGAGTAAAATTATGTACCCATARCATGTTACTGCTAATAAAATTGGTCAGATTAAAGAAATGTACTTCAAAAGAAGATGATGAAGAGTCAGCTCTTAAAAATACCAGATGATTAGATTTAGCTTTTCTTTCCTTGATACTATCTTGTATGTTGTTCTTTTGTTGACTTTATAACTTACTTCTATTTTTCCCATCAGTTTGTTTGAAGTGTTTTAACAGCCTCTACTTCACCTCTTTTTTCTTATTTATGTCTACCCTACATCTCTTCACATTGTCTTCACACTGCACTAACCGCTGCACACTGTATCACACAGCAGCTTCCACTGACTTGTACTTGAAGAAAGGTCTGGCATTCTTCCACAATGCAGCTGGCACGCTCACTCTGTGTTTCTCKACTCCCACAGTTTAAGCATGTGGGACGACACATAAAACTCTCAATCATCACRAAACAATACACAGACAAAAGTGATTTCCACTTCTATTTTTAACCATGGCTGAATACAGAAACGCTCCTAGTCAGTCATTTTCATACAAAAGTTGTTTGCACCACAATAAACTGACATCACAATAAACACAGCAGCCAGGAAGATGTGAACTTTTACTAAATAAAAAATAAAGCATCTCTACTTAGTCTAAAGTCACTGAACACACATGGTGCAGCAGGCTATAAGGTGGCACTCTCACCTCTAGTTTCTGTTCACAAACTACAACCATGCATGTTAGGTTAATTGGTGACACTAACATCATATTCACACCTGATAGTTCGGTAGACTCAGTTCGATTGGGGACCAAAATTGCAAGATTTGTTTACATTTTCAGTTGGTGTGGTTCACATTCACACTGCTCCCTGTCAAACGAACCAAACCCTGTAAACAGCCTGTTGCCCCTTCACCTGTGGGGGCGCTGCACCAAGAACCACTGAAGAAAACAACAYGAAAAACTCAGATGAAGACACTGAGTGCAACTTCCTTCTTCACAAAATGTAAACAAACATGGCATGACATCAGATTTTAGTGGTAGTAGGATTTATTTTTTGTTTTTGGCAAATGTGCCAAACACTCTTCAACAATGAGCTCAGCATGAGATGAAAATGGTAAATGGTTTGAACTTWTATAGTGCCTTATCAAGTCCACTTGGACCCCAAGGCACTTTACACTTCAGACATTCACACATTCACACACTGATGGCAGTAAGCTACATTGTAGCCACAGCTGCCCTGGGGCACACTGACAGAGGAGGGGCTGCCATGCACCGGTACCACCGAACCCTCTGACCACCATCAGCAGGCAAGGCGGGTGAAGTGTCTTGCCCAAGGACACAACGACTGAAACAGCTGCACAGGGGATCAAACCGGCAACCTTCCGGTTCCAGGATGACTCCCCTAACCACTCCACTACAGCCGCCCCTAAAGATGAAGGAAGATGAAGTGGAGACTATTTTTCACACAAGGCAGCTGAGACTGCTCCATGGGCATTTACGCACTGCAGGGCCGGCCTGGTCCTCAGATGGCCTAGGTCTGGCCCTGCCCAGCCCTGGATGTTTTGCACTGTCATCAGAGCCACCTCCAAGTGGGTGGGAACTGTTTACCGGAAAAGCGCGTAACGGTCCTTAAACGTCGAGTGAGAAGAAGAATGGTGATGCGCAGAAGAGTGGAGAGTTTCCAAAGGCTGTACTTGGCCATACAACAGCAACAGAAAGCGGCTATAGCAAGACGCAGACGGCATCGACGAGTAAGCTAGCAATATTAGCTTGTTACATGCTATCGTTATGAAAGCAGTTGCTTTT